GTACTCACGGGTTTACTCGGGTAGTGTCAGTAGTATAAGTACTCACTGGTCTACTCGGGTAGTGTCAGTAGTATAAGTACTCACTGGTCTACTCGGGTAGTGTCAGTAGTATAAGTACTCACGGGTCTACTCGGGTAGTGTCAGTAGTATAAGTACTCACTGGTTTACTCGGGCAGTGTCAGTAGTATAAGTACTCACGGGTTTACTCGGGCAGTGTCAGTAGTATAAGTACTCACGGGTTTACTCGGGTACACGTCAGACAGGTGAGCCTTCAGTCTCTCCACAGTCCAGTTCTGGCAGCAGTTGATGGTCTGGTCGTCGTAGTTCTGGTTCGGAGCCCTGATGACGAGGGTGACGGGACCGTCCACAGCAGCTCGATCCATGACTCAGGAGCATCGGACATAAAGGTGGTGGTGGTGGTGGGGGAGGGGGTCTGGAAGGTCCTCGTTTTCTAGATCTTCTCCCGGAACCACCGGTGCACAGCTCCAGCTCTGATCATCTCCAGCTGAGGACGCACAACATGAGGTTAGCATGAGCCCTGTAGCTGCACAGCTTCAACCGTGACGGAGGAATGTTGTGTGACTAAAAAAAACTGATCTGGCATCAGTGATAACTTCACAATATAACGTGGTGAATCGTTCACTGGCTGCTCAGGGGTATTTAACAGCTGGCTAAGCTAACGTTAGCTTCTGCAGATTCCTGCCTCTGCTGTGCGTTGAGTCCGGCAGACAACGTTAGCTCGGATGCTAACCGAACCGAGTGGACCACTGACCTGGTTTTGTAAAGATGATGGTCCCACGGTGGGTCTGGTTCGGCGGGTTTGTCTGCGTTGTTTACGTCTGGGGATCGAACTACAACCCTGGACCAGGGTGGAGCACTTCCTCGCTGGATGTTCTGTGGTTGTCTACATGCTGCATTACCGTTTGCTACCGCCACCTACTGGAGAAAGTGAACATGACAGTGGAGACATTAGTAAAAAAAAAAAAAAACATGTTAAAAACAAAAGTGAATTAAAAACATGTATTAAATACTTTGCAGGTTTGAAACGCCTGCTGAAATAGGTTTGTAGTTTGGAAAATGGACGGATGACCACAAAAACCTTTGCTGCAATGCAGTGCACCCAGAAAATAGGATGCAATGAAATTATAAAGCCCTAGAATAAGATGAGGAGCTACATGAAAAAATTAATCATGACCTTCATACAAAAACTAATTTAAATTGTGTATTTCCTGCTCTGGAAAATCAATGAATGTGAGTCAGTATCAGTCATGTGATCGTCTAACTTCTCTGGTGTGTAGTCTCGCCCGCTGTGTGCTGTGATTACCTCGAGCTTTATTAAATGACCCTGAATGCCTGTTATGTCAGATTGGTTTTTCAAATTAAACTCATTGAATCATTTCCCACTGGATGGTTTACTCATCCATACAAGGATTTCCTGCAGTAAAATAAAAAAGCTCTCAGAAGGAGGGAGAAGCACTTTCAATGTGACGTCCATTGTGTTTGTAGCACCGATGATTTACAGTTCAGCAGCGGACTGCATGGCTCTTTAATGCATTAGAGATATCCCCTCTCTTTCATTCCCCGCTCCCTGTGCGTCTATCCGTCTATTACCCAACTTCTAAAAGGACTGTTTTTCACACCCTGCCCCATTTTAGCAGCGGGTGAGGTTGTGTTATTACACATCTGTGACCTCACAGTTTGAGAGGTTATGAACCGGGCGGCGGTTGAAATGAAGACGCCATTAACGAAATTCATGATGTATTTTTACATCCCCTACATGATATTTGATATTTATATAACATAGGTATCAAAAAGCTAATGTCCATCCTTTGAGCTATGAGGAGGGTTTTTTTGAGGTGGTTTTAAAGATTTTCTTCCTGCTGTTGATTGTGTTTCTGTTGTTACCGTGTTTATACTCTGTCTCCACTGATTGGATTCATTCTCTTTTTCGTCTCTGTGCCGGCAACAGCCAGCATGAGGAGACATTATGTTTTAGCGTTGTTACAACTGATTAGATTTTAGTGGTCAAAGGTCAAAGTTCACAATGAGCTGATGTAAGTCTGGAAATAACTTTTTATTTAGACTGGTCACACTGGTTGGCAGAGGCATACAACCACAGTGTGGTATTTCTATATTTGTTTTTATTATAGTATGAACATACAATTGAAACTGAAACATCTAATCTCATTCTTCCGTCACATATTGATAAAATAGTAGAAAAATCAAGTTAACTGCAACACCTGCGTATTCAAGTGTTGAGGCAGTATCTTCGCTTTGATTTCAGCGAGGTGGAGATTCTAGCTTTTCACATTTTCTTGACCCGGCCACAAACTTCACATGAAAGCTCCTTTCCTTTATCTTTTTCTTCTATTTCTGGCATCCAGTTAAATGTCACCCTGCTCTCAGAGCCCTCAGAGAGCTTCCTGTGGCCTCTCCCGCTGCTGGAGGATAACACTCTTTGGAGCTGCAGTGACTTGTGCATGGAATCATTTCAGTGCCACACTAACAGGATGGGTGAAATCATAAGAGAGTGAATGGAATAAACATCTATCTATCTATCTATTTATCTATCTATCTATCTATCTTTCTTTCTTTCTTTCTATGTCCCTCTGTCTTTCTGTCTTTCTGTCTCTGCAACTAGCCTGGGATGAGGATCACAGATTAATTCAATTGTTTTATTATGACTTGTCTTTAACACTTAACTTATTCAAACAAACAAAACAAGCTGAGAGCAAAGAGACTTAATATTATGATCTCAGTATTTCTAATATCCTGGTTTTGGCCCTGAGGGGCTTCATGGTGTGAGATGATTTAAGTTCAGGCATCTGAAATAACATACGTCATAATATTCTACATGGTTAATGTATTGATTCATTTGTTGGCCAATAAAATCAGCCAATATGAGCCTTTCGTGGACATAGTGCTGTCAGCATTTATCTTTGCCAGTATGAGAACTTTTATTTTACAGAATAAACATGCAGAGAAACCGTTTGGCTGTTGGAAATGTTTGTCATAGTTTGTCCAGCAGATCCACACGATGAATAATAACGCAATTACAACTAAACTCTTTTGTTCAGGATCCAAAGTTTGCTTAAACTTCTAAGAGAACCATTGCAGTTGTTTTATAGATGTTTAAACAGATGTATTTGTAATGTTTGACTCCCTAATATCGGCATTAGCTCCCAAAAACCCACATGGGTCAGCCTCTTTGTTAAATTACAAATACGTGTAGAAAGAGTTAACATCTGCAATATGTGTTTAAAGGTCAGTGCACGGAGACAATGCCATGGAGGTTTTCTGTGTGTGCAAAGACTGATAAAGCTCATCTGAGAATCCGAGATGAAACTGTCAAATGTGTGACTGTGAAGTTCATGTGGTTGATTTTATTAATGAAGATTTATGAGCTGAGTTTAATTTATTTATCCATCCACCCGTGACCTTCTGGGAAACAAACCCTTTTCTTATGAAGACAGTGTTGCTGTTGCTTTCCTGACATTTTAAAACACCATTACAACAAACAAAAGACAGCACTTGTTGAATGGATTATGAAGCCCTTGTGCCCCCTCAGTTTAATTCATGACGGTTGCCTACAATTAGTGAGTCACTGGTGTGGAGAACGTCAGAAGCTGAGGAAGGAGGAGGTTTTAACTGCATGTCTGAGCACCGAGGTCTGACTGTGTTAAAGGCCATGTCAAGTTAGTTTCAGCCCAAATTACCAGCGTGCCACAATAATAAGTAGACTTCATTCTACTGTTTGAGCTCATTTACACAATATTCTGCAGCCTGAATGAATCAGTGTGTCATTTAAAGTTTTACATATACTGTATATTGTATCTGCATGCTGCACATATTGTTATAGGTCTATAAGTATAAGATAGTATAAGATAAGAAAAGATAAAGTTCCCATGCACAAGAATGAAATAGACAACAAAGTTGAAAATAAAAACTTAAATTAAATAAAAATACAGAGAAAATATATTCAAGATAGTCAGAAACAATATTTGTAAAGAAAACATCCTTCAGTAAAGTGCAGTATCTTACTGACATTTGTTTGATTTTAAGTGTTGTTGCTGCTGCAGCTTCAACAAGTTACTGTCGACACCTTTCCACAGACGTGTCGTCCACACTGGGTGGCAGTATGCATTCACTTTCTACACTAAAGCAAAGAGGCTGATAAACCTGTGAGGAGCAGCATCCCTTTATTTCCTGCACCCAAACCTTCGATTTGACTATCTGAAAATGTAAACACGTCTGTTTGCATGATAACAGCATGTGCAATGTAATCACAAGTTAGTGAGAAAACTGCTGTAACGCTTCATGCAGACTCAGAAACAAGTGACAAGTTGTCTACTCACTTTGTACACAAGAACCAAAACTGCATACATATATATTTATATATATATATGGGGGGGGGGGGTAGTGATTATTGTCTTTGTGCACTTAGAGTCCACTTTGCAGCCTCTTGTAAACAGCTCTACTGGTAAATGACGCTATCATGCTCAAATTGGCCAAATTGATTAGCTGGAGAGAAATCGATTGCTCTTGGGATTCATAGTACGTCAACGAGTATATTGAAGCAAAAACTTTTAAAAGTGCACGGCTGTCTCACATGCACATACATCTGGTGAGTTAAAAAGACAGCGTCCCCATGGAAACAAGTTTTCAGTCTGCAGGAGCTCCATAAACAGATTTCCTGCAAGAAGAAAAGAGAGGGAGGGAAAGAGAGAGAGAGAGAGAGAGGGGGACATACTCAATATCTGACTTCTGCAAAATCCATACAGTGCACTTCAGGTGTCTGAGGGCAGATTACTGCAGGAAATACAGTATCTGCATTTGAGGAGAGATCAGTTTGTTCCGGCCGTGTTTCTTTAAGTGCTCATGACTCACCTGTTACCTTGACGCAACTGAGGTATTTTCTGTGCTCACACCATTAGCCTTAAGTTCTCCTTGAGCACCAGTTGAAAGAGAATGAATGAATGAAGCCATCAGACAATGCAAGTGACTCAACCATTTCTGCCGCAGGAAGGAAAGATGTACAAATTAGGCAAGGTCAATTCCCTGCTATTTGGCCAAAGAGATCCCCCCCCTCCCCACTGCGGCTGAAAATGGCTGCAATAAATGAAGAAGATTGGAGGGTAAAGTGCTCGCACGGTTTCATTCACATTAGTGGTATTTGTCACCCGTATCGTGGGAGGGGGTTTGCATGTGCCATGTCTCCACAAGGGGCCTGGAGCATCAGCAGATGTTGGGCGTGCACTGTTCAGACAGGGACTTCTTTTGGCATTGTGATTATAAATGGGTCCCCATGCCAGGTAATGATCCGTTACACCACCTCAAAATAGTCCCCGGAACCCACTCTTAGGCATTAAAGATAATTACTCGTGATGTGTAACCAATAGCTCATCGTCAAGACATGTATTTATAGGACATTGGCATCCAAAAAGGAGCCCGCTGTAGATGGAAATAGTACTTCCTGAAATCAAGCCAGTTAATAAAAGAAGCCTCACAAGACGTTTTGTAAGAAAAAACCATACAGTTTAGTTTATACTTAGAAAGTAGGCAAAGATAACCTTTTAAAATAACCTCATTCAGTCGCTCTTCCACGATCTTCCAGCTCAGAATTATTAGTTTGAGCTGTTTTTAACTTTCACAGATGGAGTCATCCCATATTTAGAAGCCACAAATTCTACAGCTCGATTATTACCTAAGACTGCACACGTCGTATTAATCCAGTGTTGTTTTTTGATTATTCTTTAGGACTTGGCCCCAACATGGGAGAGCAGCTGAGCTTTTTGCTGTTGCTGACCAAATGTCTTTACGGAGATTTTTTTTTTCTTATTCTTTATTGTTGTGAGAAAGTTTGCCTGTCGAAGCATCTATTCCCTCGCTCATCATCACTGATTCTCTTTTTTAATATATTTTCTATAAACGTGTCGTGAAGA